GGTGGAAAACTCCATGGATCTATTAACAATCTCCTGAGCCATCAACTACCACCTCTTAGGGGATTATTCACATTCCAGGACTCAAAACGATCTCAGTTTTGAAAACATACTGATATCCGCTGCTGAAAGGCTCCACTCCTCTGTTCTTTTTCCCTCCTCATGGCACTTACTTTGAAGTGAATACTGCAAAGTAGCATTTGAGGCAGTGAAAAGAGGACTCTGTAACCTAGAGCACTTACTACACCCACAAAAGCCCCCTTTCGTTTTTATTGCCCCAAATCCATACAGACTGCTTTTCAAAGGGAGGTAGTAAAAGTACCACGCTTCAGCAGGTTCCAATTAAAGAAGGCCTAATCCAAAGCGTATTGAAGTTAATAAGAGACTTTTTGTCTCTTAGTTGTTGGGGCTTGGACCAGACACCAGTGTCAGAAATGGTATCTGTAACATGTGCAGACATCTGAATGCAGTCACTGCTGCAGCAGTGCTGGGCGTCTTCCTGTGCCACTATCAGCTCTGCTGATCATTCAGCTCTCCCCAACAGCTTCAAAGGCAAATTGCCAGTTCATTTTTTTCCACAACTAAACTGCTAAGTTCAGAAGATAATTAGTCTAAAGCATATACTTCTTTTTTTTTTTTTAATCTGGAAAGATATTTGGAAAGATTATTTCCGCTTCTGGCAAATGCTCCTTTTCCAGTTAAAAAAGACACTGGCTTTATTTTTAGGTCTATTTATCAAGTGACAGAAAGACACCTAACAAGCAAAAAATTCTTTTCATTTAGTGAAACCTGTGAAGAGCTTTTGAATATCCATTGCATATACACAAAGCTTTTAGGATCTGCCTTTTCAGCTCTACTTCTGCTATGCCTTGACATTATTCTACAACTATGGAGAATATGGAAGTGTATAAACAGAATAGCTCTCAGAGATTGTTTCTATTTCCAGCAAGTAACAAAATTTGCAGCAGGACCACATTTAACATCATATGAGCGTGCCTTTTATGTTCGTTGAATATAACATGACTGTTTATTTTTCCAGCGTTTTGCAAAATGTATTATTTCATAGACTGTCGTAATGTATGACTCAAGATGGAAATTACCCCCACATCATCTGGGAGAAGTGGCTCAAAGATGATTGCCTTTTCTCTACACTCCAGCTGATGGAACACTCCCTGTTCAACACAGTGTAAAGCCTCCTTGACGTGGTTCTGCCCTGAGCAGATCCCTCCTCTGTCATGACCCATGCTGCTTTATACCGGGGGTATTTTTTTTGCCTGTTGCTATGCTAAGAGCCCACTTGTACTTGCAGAGTACAAAACAGCTTTTATAACTATTTGCCACTTAGGAGAGTTAAATGGGATCTCAAAGGCTCCTTTTTAGACCAAAGAAGAAAAACAATGACTACTTTTTCCAAGGACTAGAAGTTCAGTCATCCATTCCAGTGGAAGGCCCATCAGGGGCCACCTTTATGCTTTCTTCTCTTAAGGCTCCTAAACACTGTCACAAATAAGTAGATAGCAATGATACCATTTTCACTAGAAAGGCTTTTTCAACATTGGTTAAGCAACCCAAACACACGAGAGGGCAGTTGCTGCTGGCTAACCTTTGCCCCTGAGCCCACATGCTAGCCCAAAGCCAGAGTGGACTTGCACCTTGCTGCAAGCAGTGAGCAGCAGTAGAGGGATGAGTCCTTGCTGGGGGCTGCCCCTGGCCTTCAGTCTGTCCTGTGCACCAGTCCTGGGGGCATGCTGGGCAAGGGGGACAAGTGCCCCTGTGCAAGGCTCCTGTCATTACCCAAACTGGTGGCGCAAGGGAGCTGAGGCAAAGGGAGAGATGGGGAAATTTGCTCACTGCATTGCCTCACTCCTGAACAATACTCAAGGCTTGTCTATGAGTGAGATTTAAATAAATAACATTTGGTCCTAAATTATCCAGAAAGAATAAACATTTTAAAACCTTTTGGCTGTCCTAAGACACAATAAGAGGCTTTACTATACATCTGAAGAGTTAAATTGTCTTAATTGCATCCTTGTGCAAAATCATTACACATAGAAGAAAAATATTTTTAAGTGGATGGAAAAATCCACTGGGTTTAAAGGAATACTACTGTCAAGTTAAATGTGTCCCTGCATTTGTGTGGTGCAAAAACAAGCTTTAATAAAACTGAAGAGTCTAATAGGAACATTTCCACGAATTTAAAAATAACAGCAATGGAAACAATCTCATAACATAAGTAAACCTCTCCCTTCAATATTTGCAACTCAAGTATTACAGCATTAATTTAGGGCCTGGGAACGTGAAAGTAACTATAAATGATGAATTAGTGCTTTGTTCTACAATACGAGAGGCCGGGTTTTAAATTCCTCGTCTAGCTGAGGCTCCTGAAATGTCATACTGCTGCTGGGATGCACAATTTAGCCCACCTAAAGATGAATTTAAATGGAGAGATTACCTGACATGATACTCATTGGGTTTCCAGCACCCACTGTAGATATATAGAAGGGCACCTGACTTTTAAAGAAGGCTTCTTTGGCATGAGACTTCATACCTACTCCAGGCTGCTTCCTTAACCATTAACAAGACTCTAAATATATCAGTTACAGATAACATGACATTGGTCTTACAAAGAAAGAAGGTGAAATGCGAAGTTCATCCAAAGAACAACGTACCAGGGCCCCATGAGTGTGCCCATTTACACTGCTTTGCCACCCAGAGCAGTTGCCTTCTAGGAGCACTCTGCTCATGCTGGGTTAACCGTGGATGACTCCTTGGAGACCAGTCTGTGTTAAGACTCGGTCCATGCTGGATCAGAACAAGATAAGGCACTTGCATTTATTTCACCAGAGGCCAGCTTCTTTCTCTAAATCATATTTTCAGCAGCTTCTCCTGCTCCTCATCTCCAGCTTTTGTTCCTCCAAACTGCTGCCAGGGACACTGCTTTGCCATTCTTCCCTAACATGAAGACCACACCCCTGCCCATGTCACCAGCAGAATTAGTTCAGGGTCCTCACCACAATCCCTGTGCTGAGCCATGCTCATATGAATTTGCCAAATGTCTGTACAGCTGCTGTAGGATGGTTTTCAACCGAAAAAAAGAGTATGTTGACATTAAAGCATCATGAAGTAGAAAAATAAATAAATCCCAAGGCCTAAATTGATTTACATTGTTTATTGGGGATTTGTTGATAAACTCTGTAAGTAGCATAATAAGATATGATTAGTTAATATCTGAGTGAGATATAACAGGATCATGATTTACTGAAGGTCAGAACTGTATACAGAAGATTAAAACCAAAACATCACCAGATTCCTTTGGGAGCTGCAGAAGCTGACCCTGCCAGGATATGTTTTCTGTTTCCATGTTTCGGAAAATAAAGGAAGACAGGATTTCCTTAAAATATGTTTGTCTTTCCTAATTCCCCAGATGTCTTCCAAAACCTGGATATAGGAATAATAATAATAAAAAAAAAGGCAGTAAAGTTCATTCTTGCCCCTCTGATAAGGCTGTTAAACTGTTGAATTACATGAGGCAGATCCTGTAGGATGGGAAGTTACTTGGCAATGACTCTGTAGCTGAAACAGTCTACCATAACTTGCTCATAAATAGATCTGGAAACCCTGCATCCAAACTTTGTTCCTCATTTACTGTACAGCAAACTGTTCAGGGAGAATTAAAATATATTCTGCCTCGTATCATCAGGCCTCAGAGAGCAGCTGGTCACTTCCATTGCCTTCGGATAGATACCCTGTGGACTGATCCCCACTTAACCTGGTCAGTAAAAACCTCAATGATTTCTTTCAGCAGGAAGACCATCTCCTTGACAGGAGGGAAGGAGAAGAAAAGCCCAAGCTTGACTGTTCTTCTGGATAAAAACTAATCATCTCTGGTGGTACAATTACAGCTGGCAAACAGCTGGGGACAGGAGTGCCTCCATTAGGTGCAGAAAAGCTGGGACAAAGCAAATGACCCTGACGGATGGCACAACCTAGAAGGAGAACAGTGGAGAGCTTGTCTTGATCAAAAAGGACCTGCAAGTTTCAAGGGCCCTGTTGGGCATGTGGTGGTCAGAAAAAGGTGCCACTTGATCTAACAGTAAAACTTCTGTGAAACAAGATTGCCTGGATCCAGAGCACAGTGCAAAGACTCAGCAAGCACCAGGTTGTCTCCCAGTTTATTACAGAACACAAGTATGAACAACTTAAAAGTTGTCTCATATTTTAGGCCCCTTCCCACTCTGTTTGCCTGTTCCTGACTATCTTCTGGTCACTTTTCTGCTGTGTGCCTTCCCTGAGAACTCACCACCTATGCTATCCTAAGAGATGCACATGCACACTGTGCCTGTCTCCTCCTTACAGTAACCTACACTCATTAAATAAGAATGGGAGAAACCCTCACATGTATAATAGGTTTCTGTTACTTCCACTTAGGGCCAGTTTCAAGGGCAGGCAGCCATCTATCCTAGCAAGAAACTGTATGTGCCAAAACTTTTATAAATGTGAAATTAGCCACCTGTGATAACTGTTATAAAACTGTTAAATTAGTAACAGTGATGATTCTCATTTCTTGCTGGGATATCAGGGAAGTAGGATGGAAGAGCAGTAAAAAAAAGGCTCCCACGTAGTCCAGAGAATAGGTTAATCCAAGTGTTGCTCCTGCAGTGAAATCAGAAACCTTGCTAAACTCACTGCAGGGCCTCCTGCCTGCAAAGACTTTAAGTGTCACCCTATAGCCCCACTAGAATAGCACAAAAGCGAACAGGAAAG